ATATCAAGTATTAAGTGTTAAATATGGTCAAATATTAAACATTAAATATAACCAAGTATTAAGTATAATATCAACAATCAAATATGATAATGTTTTTAGTATAATTAAATTATAATATTAGCATATAGTATAGTTAGAAATAGAAGCTTAAATAATCGTTTCTTCAATTCTTCCCTCTTTCTTGTATTTCATAAATAAAAAAGAAATTGAAACCATCAATTTTCGCATAGATTCAGATTCTTTTTATAGTGAAGTAATTTGAGAAGAAATTCAAATACAATCATTTTTTTTCGATAGATTTAAATTCTCTTACACCAAAATTGGTTGAAAAGAATTTCACATATTATCAATCTCATTCAAATTTAATCTCTTCCTTTCTGCGTCATTAATGAATCAGGATCACGTTAACGTTTTATTGCACAAGTAACGTATGACTGTAACATGACTGATAGTTTCGTTTCATACTTTAATTCTTTCAAATTATACCATCATAAATCATCACATCATCACGTGAAATTCATACGATGACGTGAATGATATCTGTTTAATTCCAACGATGCAATAAGATAATAATCACCGAAATGATATTTGTATTCTTCTTTCTCTTAAAGAAATGAAATCTAACATTTATTTCTTCCGCAGATATGATAATTACATATCACTAGATCAATTCGTTTGATTCATCGACTGAATCGATCGATCGATCGATCGATCAAATTCATTTCACTCATAAAACAACGATCGCACTTATCAAAATTACGGGAAAAGAGAGAAATGCTAACATGAAAATTTGTACTTCTTGAAAAAAAATACTTTATCCACGCTGCCATACTTGTTTACTTTCATTTCTTCCCTCTCCCCGCTTCGATCCTTTCAATTCTCTCCCCCGTATACTTCCAATTCATCCCCGCTTCTATTCAACTGAAATATGCCTATAATATAAATGGCACATTGAAAAAAGCCCGTATTTATAACTAACATTAAAATACCTATTTTCCTTTTCCACATTGTCAATAATCATTTTCATCCTGTGCTTGTTTACACACTATCGTCATATCTTCCTCTCATTCATTTCCTTCTCTCTTTGCTCACTTCCTCTTCCTCTCCCTCTCTCATTTTGCATACTTTCTATCGAGCGATAATTTTGTGAAATGATTGACAAATTGAGGATTTTTTCTTTCTCTTCTCTCTTTCTCATGAAATTTGATAGATATCATTCTTTTTATTCAATTTAACTAAAATTTGTTAAATATTATCAATCAATTAAAATTAGCATAAAAACAGGAAAGAGTAAACAAATGAAGAAATAATTAAAATTTCGTAGTAAACAAATACTCTGTGCAATGATTTTTGTTCGTAATAAATAAACAGTAGGCTAATTTAAGAAAAACAGAAGAAATTATGATAATAAATAATACCACAATTTTAATTATCCATTCATTAATTGAAAGATATTTTTGTCTTAAATTTTAATTGAAGTTTAAGAGCAATAAAAGAAAAGAAGAAAAAGAGTGGGAAGAAAAAAGTTGAAGAAATATTACTTCTAGAAAAATCTAAAAATTTCCCGGGAATTCCTTGTAAATAAAATATATCTGAAAGTATTCGTTGTAACGTTCTGATATTTTTTCCTGAAGAATGAAATTCACATAATTGATATGCCAATGCAATTCTGTTATTTCAATTCCTATTATTTATTAATTCACATCAGAAATTAAACCTAAAATAAATCTATTTGATTGATTTTGTTATTTGATGGTTCGTTCGTTAATCGTTTCATCGAACATTCTTTCATTTATTCATTTCTTATTTTGAATTTATTTATTTTAATGGAAATGAATTTTTCATTAGAAATATTTTTTAATTATTTCATTCGATCCATTTCATATGTCATTTTCACAACCGATTTATAGTGAGCGGTCCATTTTCAATCCTTATTTGAATTATTTGTATTCTCGACAGCAATCGATATTACTATTTCTCACATCTCTATTTATTTCATTCTAACATTGTAAGATTTTATCAAATTATTGATTATTTTTAATCTTTACAAATCAATAATGATAATATAAATGATAATCATTGTATTGTTGATAACTAATATCTCATTTATCATTTATTAATCTTTGCCCTTTTCAAAATTTTTCTCTAGAAATTCAATTTCATCACTTTATAGCGTAGATATGTCTGCATATATCTAGATATATGGATAGATGTTTATGTGTGGGTGAGGATGCGTGTGTGTGTGTGTGTGTATGTGTATGTGTGAAGATGTGGTACAGATCTTTCAGAATGTTGTAAGTATTGTATAAAAAGATAGCTTTCCCAGAAACCTGAAATGAGCCGTGGTAGAACAATATCTTTACGTGATATACGAGTCTGACATCATATCACTTATGACACTTATCATTTTTACTATCAGTCATTCATTCATTGTTATGAATATGTATATACTACGTATCATTCCTTCTTAATCAATGGTTTTCTGGTTAACAGTTACTTTGTATATGATATATAATATTGTCAACATCTCTATCATTATCACTATATCATGATTCATTTATCAAAAATCATAAGTTTCTCAAGATATTTGTGAAGACGACATGTTTATTTGCATATTATTGTATCCATTGTCATTGTCATTATTAATATCAATATCAATATCGTTATCATTCTTACGTCATTTCATCTGTTAGCATTAGTCGAAAATACTTCTATATCTGTCCCAGTGTTGCTGTGATCATTATAGGTAGTATTATATCACTTGTAGATTTATTTTATGCTAATTGAATATTGCTTTTATTTTTTTAAGCCTCTCGATCGGTTCTTCTCCTTTTAATAAGCATTAAATGCATAAAATTAATTCCTTCATTGAATGGCAGAGAATGGGAGTTACTGGAGGCTTTCGTAGAACTTCTCTTTCCTTCTGGAATATTTCCCAGAATTTCCCCCGCCCTTTCTTCATTCCTCTTCTTCTCTTTCTCTCCGCAACCCAGCACGCCATCCATCGAATAGTTCCAATCGATCGTGCAGAATGCTGACTGCTTGCTTTATGCGTCAGCAAGCATTAGCTACACTTTCTATCTCACCTTACATACATACATATGTATGTGTGTATGTGAAGATATGTACACGTGTACAAGTATATGTACGCGCAAGTGTAGATGTATGTGTGTGCGCATGTGTGTATGTGTACATTGGATATATTTACACGTCATTGTGTGCGTTGTTGTTTGTATGAATGTGTGTATGTGTACGTAAATTTATATGCGTGTATGTGGCATGTATGAGTGAGCGCTTATGTGTATATGCATATGCATGTTAGAGCATATGTGCACGCGAACGTGTGCATGCACTTTCATGTACGTGTATGTATGTGAGTGCCTGTATGTGTGTATGTGAGTGCGTATAGGCGTTCAGGTAGTAGAGAGGGTAGTGCTACCATCGACTGTCTACAACCGGTTATCGACCTTCCCTTTGATCTGTTTACTCATCCTTCTCAACGCCTATCTATGCATGTCTCTTTCCGTCTGTTTGTCTGTTAATGTATGTCTCCGCCCGTTTGCCTACTGTCTGGCCAATTGGTTGATTGGTTGGTCGGTTGGCTGGCAGAATGTATGGGAGATGTAGTAGGCCCGTTTGGATCCATCATATACTATTGGGATGTGTGTGTGTGTGTGTGTGTGTGTGTGTGTGTGTGTGTGATGTAGGGATGGAACGCTTTCTCTGGCTCCTGAATTTAACTTGTGTTGCTTTCTGAGAAATACCAGATAGGAAGAATACGTTGAATATCGACAAGTTGTTGTCGAAGTCTTTTTTTCTCGTCAAATTTAGGAATAGCTCTCATGATTGACATGCAATTAGGGAGAGAGCAGAACATTGAAAACATTTCTATCCGCATCTGACTGTATTCTAAATGTTCCGCGGTGAAGAGGGATCAAATTAGTTATCCGGTGATATATCATGAATTCGTCTATTTTGTTTATATATATATATTTGTATGTATTTGTGTGTTGTGCACATGTATGTGAGTGCGTATGTGGGTATGTTTGCGTGCCTGTGTTTCTAGTGCTGCTTGATCTGTACTCATCATATCATATGTTTGCGCAAATGATCGACGAAATTATAGTTTTACCACAGTAAGCAATGAGCATCAAAGACTACAAATAATCAATAAGGGAGAGTTATTCAATTTTTGTTTCTTTCAAATGAGAGCAATAATAGGAAATCGGAGAATACTTTTGTTTATTTTACAAAACATCTTTATTTTTGTTAACACTTTGCATGTATCAGTCAGTAATGCGTATTAGTTTGTATTGTGTAACACTAATCATCATGAAAGACTGATTTCAACACTATCATTTATACTGCAACTGAATTATCATTTTGGTATCGGAAGATGTTATAAAACAATTTAATAAGATTCTTTTCTGTGGTCGAAAAAGTTTGTAAAATTAATAATAGGTAAATATTACTAGTTCATTTTTGCTAATTTTCATGTATTAATCAATTACCGTTATGTTTTACGATATGAATTTCAAATGTTAACATGGAACCGTAATCCATGCAATGTAAGTAGGATGAAAATAGAGATATTTTTGTTTCGTCATCTTTTAAATGTATTTTAAGTCGTAATGAAAAAAAATGTGAATGAATGGGAATTATTCTTTTCATATAGCAAGAAAAAGTAGTTTTTGATTTTTTTCGAAAAGTTAAGTCATTAAATTTTACCTGTGCAATTTGTATGCCATATTCGATCATCGAATTATCGAATGAATATTGTAAACGGAATTGGGAAAAACTCTCTACAGATTGTTTTCAACATAATCGTGAAATATAAGAATAAGAATTATATTATTGTGCACTTGTTCGTTCGTTGCCTCTTCACTTCGCTATTTCCCGATGAAAACAGTCGAAATGTTTTATTTCCAGTTTTTAACAAACAAGCCAATTGCTGGCCGTCACGTGGATAGGAAATATATTGACAGCTAAAACGACAAATCATGGAAAATCAACAACAGACAACGACACTATGCCGCGCGGGTTGTGGTTTTTTCGGTTCAACTTCCACCGAAGGATTGTGTTCGAAATGTTATAAGGATTATGTGAAACGAAAACAAGATACTACTGCTCGCTTAAGTCCACCATTACCAGCTGTGGTTAGCTCGGGTGCTAATACGGCCACAGCTACATCAAGTGCTGTTAGCAATACAACGTGTAACGCCGATAATACTGCTGCCACTTCGTCGACGGTGATTATCGCCGAAAAGCTTAGGGAGGTAAGTATCGCAACCTCTCTTCTCCATTATTTTCTTGTCAAAATGAGAACTTGTTCAAGTGAATCTGGATTGTTGGAATTTTCGGCTTCGAAAATTTGGGTTTGGACACATTTAGTTGAACAGCAATATCAAATGATGGCTGAGGAGATTCTGAGGTCCGTTAACCGATTAGATGGTGATAACTGAAGAGAATTTTTTCTCTGAGTCACCTATCAAACTGGAATATTAGGGAACGATTATGGCTGATTAGCTCTGGCAGTTCGGAATCGGATTATGTGAGAAATAAGTCGAGGAGAGAAAGGATTTGCTATTTAGCCATAGTTAATTGTGATTCCGGGACATTTTCTCAATGATTTTATTGATATTTAAGATTTCGTTTTCCTCTGCAGTCCCTAGTATTATCTACTGCAGCTTTGTGAATTTATCCGCTGATGAAGTCAATCCGTAGGTTATTTACACGACTATTTAGAAAGCAGATAGAGGCTTAGCAATTGCATGTTTCAAAATAAATTTATACCAGGGAATAGATCAATTATTGATTATTGAAGATTTTGGTCAGAAGGTTATTTTAGGTTTCCTGTTCGCAGGCTGCGAAATCCTCCGAAGATATGACTGCTCAATTGGAATCAGTAGCAGCGGCAGTGGAAGCAGCAGGTGGTATCACGGCATCGTCGTCGGGTACTTGCTCGGGTGTTCTTTCTGCATCTAGGTTTGATTTTTTTGTATAGATCGATAAATTTGTTGAAGTCAAACGATTGTAACGAGGTAGATTATTTGCCAGAACTAACAGTACTTGACACTGGAAAGCGTTTCGGTAACGAGAAGATTGTTGAAGATGTAAATAAACTTGTTACGTAACAAAGCAAGGTCTGTGATACTTTAGCTAAAAATCTCCATTGGATTTTTAATACCGATTAGGGAAGATATAGTGCCGTAGTTCGTCTGATTGAGGATTACAGATATGATTGCAGAGGTGCTGGATTTCAGAGCATTTAAATTGTTTAATGTTGCCGAAGTTGTCGAAATAGTGCACACCAATAAACTTTTAATATTTAGCGAAAATGGTAGAATTTTAATAAGCTTGATAGAATTTAGCATTTCTTCTCATATCCAGAATTATTTAATCGTTTTACACGTCCTGCCTTATGATGTAAATGCTATCATAAGTGGTCATGTACAATTTCTAGAACAAGCATGTGATGATGTTCATTGCCCAGGAAAATAGGTTTGAAGTTTTGCACCAAGATATTGACGATAATATCGACTATATTTAGTGATGTATAGTATATATATATATATTACTATAAAACAATTCATAAAAAAATTGCAAGGCACAATTATTTTGGATCTTCATAAAAACTTGTTATTCCACTAATAAAATATGAATGCACTTGTTTAGTGTTAACCATTGTGATGTGTTTTAGCTCTGTGGCAAGCCTTGATGCCGCAGCCCCTCCCGATTCAAATGCTTTGAGTAACGAAGGTCAACCGGTTCCGAAGAAAGCCAATCGTTGTCATGTTTGCAAGAAGCGTGTCGGCCTTACTGGTAATTATTTCCAGTAATTATTTCCAGATCATTCAGAATTTGTTTCTAATGAGTCTCATTTCTTTACTTTTTTGGTCGTTCACATTGAACTTCTTTAATGGTTGCCTCATTCAATGAAGTGAGGGTGGACACTTTCGCTGGTTGGTATGGAATTTTTTTTTATCCATAACGACAGTAGAGCAGATGGGGAGAAAATCCTCAACAAAAACAAGGCTCCTCAAATTGTGGCGATCTTTAACAAGTCGATGTTAACTCTACAGCACTCACTAATGATTTTTTACAATCACAAGAGATAAAAAGTGATGTCAATTCATAGGTTTCGTCTGCCGTTGTGGTGGCTTATACTGTGGTGAACATCGTTATGATACGGCACATGGTTGTTCCTTTGATTACAAAACAATGGAAAGAGAAGAAATTCGTAAAAATAATCCGGTGATTGTCTCAGAAAAGATCCAGCGGATTTAGGATGTGTGTTTTATATTCGTTTGCTCATTGAAGAATGGCGAAACACTTCTACACACTCCCATTATGTAGCTAATTTTCTATTTTGTTTTTAGTTTCGAAAATTTTGCCCTATAAGAGGAAAGACAAAGAAGCAGTACTGAATTTTTCATTACTAGTCCTCCTTTTTCCACCCTTTTCTAACCACTTTTTCTTTTGTGGTAATTGATTTGATTTTCTGGGAAAACTTCACATCTTTCCGAAGAAATGGAGAATTCTGACTGTTAAAAAGTATGCCAAGAATGCTGTCCATCATCGGAATATCTTCAATTGCATTGCTTTTTGTTTTGACATTTTTTGTCGTCTTGATTCTACCGTATATACAATTTTTTTATGTTCTTTTTGGTTTCTCTATTCGCTAATCTTCCATACCTTCTTAGAAGTTTGATAACTGGTTCAGTTGAATGTTTTTTTTTGAGGGAATACGGAAGTGGTCATCTTCTACATGAGCTGTGTGTGAGTGTGTGTGTATGTGTGTATTTGTTTGTGTATGTGTGTGTGTGTGTGCATTTATGTAGCATGTTCTGTAGGTGAATAATTCTTCCCAAATCATACGGGGTTTAAGGATGCTTTTTTTAGAAAAAAGAAGAAAGAGGGGAGGGAACTTGTCTTGAATTCACTGCAAGTTTAGATTTGATGGTTGTAAAATTTCTGAAATTTTTCACTTTTCAAAAAATACGATAGTATGTCTTAGAAATTGCAATTATGTATCGTCTTTTTTCCTTCAGTGGTTTGATTATGTTTGGTGTCTGCAATTATGATCATTTCATACCATTGATGTCATTGCGCCCTAAGATTGAGCGGTCTTGAAAAGAGAAGGGTGGAAAGTATTTTTTCCCATGGAAATGAAAAAGTAGCTTTTATCACTTCAATTTGTGGTTACTGGTAGAAAGATGGAATGAGTGAAGTTTCGATTATGTAAAATTCAAATTTTAAATATATTAGTCTAAAATCCAACTGATTCGATAAATTATTTGCTACACAATTTTTTTGATAAATTATCACTTTTTCATGGGAAAGTGGAAATATGGGTAAGAAAAAATTTTGCGTGCTTGGCTTCTTTTTTTATGTACAAATTGTAGGCATACACCGATTCTATAAAACTTTTGTTGATAGAGGTGGCACCACATACGTACGTTCGTTCTGTCAACATTTTTTCGTCATTTGCTAAAAATAATCTTATATTCTTGCTTCAATATTGAATCAGTTTGATTTTGTATAAATGACCCTTATTTACTGACACCGTGAATTTTTTTATGTCAGCATATAAAGCTATATTCTTTTTAAGTGACAAGCTTTAGTGTTACATTCAAATTTGGATTTTGAAGCAAAATGACAAATATACCTACAAAACAGCTGTACGATGAAAACGTACCAAGGAACGAAAACGAAATTTAGAAATATGGCGTCGAGCTTACAGAATTTTAAATCTACGATGGTTTGGTATGGTGCACATGTCATAAAGATTTTGAAATTCGCAAAACTCGGTAAACCTAAAATGCAGAATGTTCCAAATGTGCAAACATATTGGGTGAGGTTCATTGCTACGGATATCTGGATTTCGGCATTGAATGATTTTTCATGATAATGATGGATACTTACAGTAGAAATGTATATCCTGTTTTCCTTACTGGGAAATCATAAATTTTTTAAAGCTTAATTCCAAATTTACTGGTAATATTTGTCAAATGCTGAATATTATTTTCATCCATCCATGTACTCTTTATTTCATACATTAAGTGGGATAAAATTACCCATTGATACTACGTTTGCGTGAATATTAGGGATTTCCCGGTATACAATGTTATCATTTAGTGCTCTTGCAATCGAATATTGATTGATTTATTGACCGGTTTGTTATCCAAATAATATAATTCGTGGTTAAATAGGCATTTTAAAAATTCAACCATTTATTTTTCTACAATAATATTTTGCTTTTATTACTGATCAATTTACTTGAATTTTTTTCTGCTCTTAGTATACTATAAAAATCAAGCATTATTATCTCTTAGAACTTTGCGGAATTCATTCCGGATTTAGCATTCAATATGCTATTTGTCTTCATTTGAAAATGTTATATGTGATTTAACATCAATTTACTTGGAAGAGGAAGACAACAGAAAGACGGAGAGATAATTTGTTCGAGATTTACTTTACTTTCATTATTATTGTTTATCATCTTGAAATTTAACATCAAAAGTTTTAAATCAGTGAATGGATTAAATTGATTATAACATAACAATTCACAATGACAGCTTGAACAGCTGAAAATCCGGAAAATGAGAAATTATAAGATAGACGACAAATTATGTAGTCATGATCAGAGAATTCCCTTTTTTCTTTCGTTGTTTTAAAAATTGAAATATTTTATAGCATATATTTTTATTTGAATTCTGATAAAACAAAGCTTCAAATTCAATGATGATAAGATGCTATCAGGCGCTATCAGTCGTATACAAGCTTTTATATAAAAGCTTTTCACATTAGAAATGAAAAAAGAAATTTCGAGAAAAATTCACAGTTTTAATAGGAAAATCAGAATTCGAAAAGAAAACTCATTGATCATCATCAATACATATTAAATCATTTTTATTTAATCATTAAATTTTTTCAAATAATTGACATATCGTTCCAAACGTTTCCGATAATTAAACCGAGTGTTTTCAAGATGACATACTAACTTATGTATTGTCATCAATTGAAGTTGACAGCTTTTCCGATAATTATCTTCTCTGCTAATATCCTGAAATATATGAGACAAAATTTTGTCTCATATTAACCATAATTATATTATTAATTCGATTATATGATGCATAAGATTTTTAATTGCTTAATTAATCGTAATGAATTTGATAATTATCTATTTTGAAATAAAGGGAATGGAATTTTTTTTTTTGATTATCATATTTGAAGAAATCACTCATTTTCGATCTTGAAATGATCGATCCATTTTTTGTCCAATGGTTATTTCTAACTCTTTACATATTGCACCAAATTTATCAAATGTAATTTTGAAAAAAACAAAAGATAATAATAATTACAAACTTTAGCGATAGCTGTAACAATATTTTGATAATTATTTATTGATGTTACTCGTTTAGCTTTCTCCAAGGTACTTAATTGTCGGATAATATGACATTTCGTATCATCCAATGTTGGCCTTCAATAATTTTTAATCAAATGCTGACAAAAATAAGGGATCGAAATATGCTCAGTACAAAATGTACATTTGAAAAAGTATTTCGATACAAAATATTAATTATTTGATTATGTTATATTACATCGATAATAATAATAATAAATAATAGTAATAACAATGATAATAATATTAAATCATAGTTATGTTATATAATTATGTGATACATCAACTATTTGTTGCAAATAATTAATGAAATGAATCTTAGTATGCATGAATGCATTATAATAAATAAAATTACTTCATTCCAAATTATTTGGCTTTCATTAACGTTTATTTTCATTTGATAAATATTACCTTAAGCTTAACTGTTTAACTGTCAGATATTTAAATAGCTTTGAAATTATTTTTGTTACCTTGCAAAAAATCCTACAATTCAAATTAGAATAGAAATTAAGTGTGTTTTCAAAACTTATTAATTTCGAATTACTTATTAATCGATCATATAAACGATATATGTATGTATTCTTTATATGCTTAAATTATATAAATATAATATATACATACTCAACTATAAAAATATTGAAAAATTAAAGGTGTAGTATTTCATTGCCGAAGTTTAAGTTTAACATACTGATCATTTTTGTGATGTAAAAGTTTCCGGAAAACTTCTTCCTCTTTTTGAAGTGTATGACGAGCAAGAAGTTGTATTAAATTATTACCCGGACAACCGCATAACAAACATTGCTCAACATATCGTATCGTCCTATGTAAAAAGAAAAACTTTATTTGATTATTTTTACTTTATTACATAAAATGGATAATTAATTTAAGAAGAATTAATTGCTAATAATTGAAATTCGAAATTTCTGTTAATTCTTATTTGATGAAATATGAAAATTTTTAAGACTAAATTTTTATTCTAAATCTTAGAAAAGAATAGAATCATTATATTGATAATAAATGAAATTGTAACCTTCGAAGCAATTTATCATTATTATCAATTTCGTCCGGAATAAAAGGATGCAAATGAAATGTTACATACTGTTCCATGTTATCATCCGGTAGTAATGTATCAGTAATAAATCGGTTTAATCGTGAATTCTGTGGAATTACCTGGTAATTTATTTTATTATCTATCTGTGAATTTGCATACTGATTTTGGTAATATCGTTGGAAACAAAAAAGCTCAACAGAAAATCCGTCATATAATCAATGAAATTCCTTTTTGTTAAATAATAACTATAATATCATTGATAATTATTACTAATTACCAAAAATAATAAAGAATCGAAAAATTATTGTAATATATTATTTAAATTGTTAATTGTTCCAATGATATAAATATATTATAATTCATGAAATTTATTATTAAAAGAATAATTCCAATTGGCATTCTTATATATTGATGGATATCTTTGTCAATGTTTGCATATCAACCTCATTGATATCATTTTGAAGTCGTTGAAGAGTGACACGAAGTTGATGCATTGTTATGTGAAGCACAGGCTTATATGGTCCATACTTATCCCATTCCTTATCCTCAATGTTATAACTATAAACAGGCGGATTTTGCACAATAAATTTCATAAAATGCCATCTGAAATAAGACTGATAAGTTTTTGATAAAAGTGGAAAATGCCATCTGAAATAAGACTGATAAGTTTTTGATAAAAGAAGAAAAGAAAAAAATGAAAAGGATAAATTTGAAATTCATTTGAATTGGAATGATTTAAATTTTAAATGCTAATTCTGATATTTTGAAAGATATTAATGCTATCGAATTAAGTTCATTCTATAGAAAATTTTTAGAACAAAGGTTAGTTGGGTAGAATTTGTTGGATTTTTTTAGTGCTAATTAATATTATTTTGCTAAAACAATTAACAAATCAATAATTACATACTCTGAAATAGCGTTAATTTTCGTAATAGCTTCATTTAATGAATTTAACCAATATTTTTCAGCGCCATACTGAAAAGAAAGGAAAAAGATGAATGAGAAAACTGTTGCTCAACTTCGCACGAAAAATGACCATTTCAAATATTGGACAACCGACAGCAATTAGAGTTCTTTAATCATTACTCCGTTTAAACTTCCAGCATTTCAGGAAGTTGGAAATTTTTTTAATACGAAAAAAGTTACAATTGAAGCACTTACACCAAAATTTAAAATACTATATTCGATGAATTTACTGATTGTTTTACGGAATGCTAAAGCAGGATATTCTTTTGATTTTTCGGTTATCACATCCAGATTTTCAGCACTAATTACATTCATCCAACAGCCTTTGTAGAGCCAAGCACTGATTGCCTGAAATTTCTTCTTTTATTTCTGTCAATTTAACACTATCAATTTGATTATAAATCAAATATAAAATTAATTGGCATTTATTCATTGTTTTTTGTCAACTAATAACCTAAAAGTGCCCAATGAATAATAGAAATTTCGCAATTGAAATGACCATAGGTAATTTTAACCATTGTTAATTAATGATTGTAATTAGTATTTGGAGCAATTAAACACGAATTTTAACAACTTTGAAATCATCCCATATTTTAGCTTTACGAAATTTAATCAAATGTAACCGTTTATTATTAAATGAAAAATTTCTTGAATAAAATGAAAAGATCATTACACACAATTTAATATTTATATCATTTCGATACCACGTAACTAATCATAATTATCGTTTAATTAATAATCATAATTATAATTAACTAATTACAATTATCCAATCATAATTACCGTATCATATAGTTGAAAATTCTGAATTTCCTCATATTATAAGTTTTTATATCATATGGCTAAAGATTCTGAATTACTATATTGAAGATTCTGGAATGTCATTCCATCACAATTTTATTATCATGTTAAAATTGGATAAACCTGTATAATGATAGCATCAGATTCCGTTGGAAATCGTTTCTTCAAATCATTTCTTGCGGATACAGCTATGTATCGTACGATATCGCTGCAAAAAAATTGGATATTTTATTTTCTAGAAAGTGGAATCAATCAGAATAATTCTTTCATTGGATTAAAAGCGATTTATGTTTAAGATATAAACTCTAAATAACGAATGAATTCTTTAAGGCATTTTTCGGTATCATAACAGAACCGAAAAAATGGAAGAGAAACAAAGGTGTGAAAGAGTATTATAAGCATTCTTGAACAATAATACTTACGGATATTCGATCACTTTTCCGAAGAGAATATCAGCATAAACATTAGCCCAATGCATTAGGAATTGCTTACTATCATTAAAAATCTTGATTACTGTACTGTTACTCATTGCTTCATCAATATTCTTCGGTTTGATACCGGTTATCGATTCAAAAAGATATATCGGATTAAGATTGAAATATTTCTTACGATACTCGGCATAATCCAATTTTTGATTAAGTTCCGCTATTTGTAATCGTTGTAATTCCATCCTAGTATACGACCTAAATTTTATATTCAAATTTCAACGTTGAAAAAATGATTAATTATGATTTCCAAAAAAATGAGAAAATTTGTTATTATTGTTTTTACTAAAATTTGACAGTAATTAGATAATAATTATTGTTATTACAAAAAATTTAAATCTAAGGTTTATAACGCTTGTAATACTTAAATAATTAAATACAATAATTTTTAATGTTTTATTAATTTAATATGCAAATATTTTGGATTATTTGATTTTTACTTTGTAATATTGCATTGAATTATTAAATTGAAATAATCTTATGAAGAATAAATCTGATACGTGAGGTGAAGCAAATTATCAAATTGAAATAATCTAAGAATAAATCTGATACATGAAGTGAAGTAGTAACTGTAGCTTTCTTCTTCTATACATTATGTTGTTATTACTTATCCAATTTATATTTTTCAATTATGCTAATTTTAAAAAATTCAGTGAATCAAATAAATTGCAAAACCGGAAAATCGAGGTGAAATACGAACTCTATTAGTATTTGCAAAATAACACATGAGGAGGAATTTCGGAAATCAAATGGATTGTTTAGTTGTTTGATTTCTTCTTGAAGATATTTCGCTAACAATAAGGCTAATAATGACATTTCTCGGTTACTCATACCATAACTATAAACCGGTAAAACGGATCCTCGGAATAAATCGGACAATGCTGAGAAATGAAAATATGAAATGAAATTTTAATAAATTTTGATATATTCTGATTGCTATTTCATTTCATAATTACTAATTAATACCAATCGATGTCTTTAAAAATGTTTTAATCAATTTAATATAAAATTGTTTTAATTTTTAGTTTTAATTTCAAGTCGAAATTAATTTCTTTCAAGACATATTATCGAGTAGAAAATTCCCAATATAGCCTCTAACAAAACAAAAACAAACTGAAAAATTTCCTTAAATCAACTTAGGCGTATTTTTTCCCTTTAAAAGTTTTGACTTGATTTGGAACACTTAACAGTTTTCAAGAAACACCAACAAGAAGATAAGATAATTTCTAAAAACTTTATTAAACCTAAATCGGTTCATTCGTTATATTTCGTACCTTACCGTTCATATCATTGCTATATTTACCCATCAATCTTGCTAGATATTCCACTTCTGTTTGTAAATAGAAAAAAATAATTTCATAGCGATTCAATTTCATTCTATCTTTCTTATCAACTGATAATAGCTTGTCAGCTGTCACCTTTCTCTCTGCTTCGGTAATAATATTTTTCAAAGAATTTTGTAAATCCTGAAAAGAAAATTGTTTTTTTTTAACAGAATTAATTAATCAAACATTTAAATTTTTTAGCAAAAACTTAATCAAATATTTTGAAAATTTATAATTATCAAATTATATAAATACATAAAGTTTTCTTTTCTAATTAATATAATTTATTTTAAAAATAATTTACCTGAAATTGTATTTCGTTAATTGATAATTTCGCAATTTTATCATTCAAATCAATCATTTTTTCTTCCAAATATCGATTAGCATTAATTAATTTTATTGCATACAATCGATTTTCTTCCAGTTCTGTAAGTGTAATTGTTATCAGTTATTTTATTTAGTGTTACTGTTATCACTAAGTATTATTGTTATCAATTATTTTATTTAGTATTATTGTTATCAGTTATTTTATTTAGTACTATTGTTATCAGTAAGTATTATTGTTATCAATCAATTTATTTACTTATTTTTCCCACTTATTATTTTAACACTTTTAATTTTAATTTTTTTAAATTTATCAATAACTATATTAAATCATTTCTTTATAAATCCTTTAAATAGAAATTGTTAGATTTTGAAATTTCTGAGAATTTTTTGAAACCAAAGTTTTTAATATTAAAAGCTAAAAATAGATTTTCCATACTTCTGTATTCTCATATCTAAAATTTTAATCCGGAAATTTATAAATTAATACCTTTATCTTCCCTTCCATCATTCCATCGATGCAACAATAATGGAATAAGACGTCGCACTACTCGCAATGACGGCTTATCGGATCTTTCTGAAAAATACGAAATTTTTGTTAAATATTTTTTTTTGCTTCTTGCGATTTTTTCCGGTTTCCTTCACCTCTTTTGTTCCTGTTATTTTCCTGATTAAAACTAAGATTCCGTATACTATTGATAATTGCATTCTTCCGTATTCATTCTGTTTCTATTTGCATTCGTCATTTTTACCGTTTCTACTGAGAATTTCTCCTCTGCTTCATCCGATCGATCATCATTTATATTTCTCCATCCACTGCTAATCAAAATTTTTCTTGGCCACTTAATATCCGGCTATCCTACTTGGTTCTAATCCTATTCATCGGGAATATTATTTTCTCATAGACTTACTAACCACTTGCATCACTCTTTTCTCTCACAGCTTTTGTCTACTGTCTTCTAATCCTAGCAAAGTTTGGTCACTCACTATTTCTTGTTTTTATTTCCAGCGCAATTGAAGAGACAATTTTTGACAGATATATAAAATTATTATTATCATTATTATTTAATATTGTTATTACTATTTAATATCGTTATTATTATTATTACTATTATTATTGCTATCATTACTATTATTATTTATTACTTAGTTCTTCGAAATTTTTCCAGAATAAACGCTTTTTCCACCATTGTTGAATTTTGGTTGCAGCTCTTTCCATAATTTCCTTATCATTATCATTCTTTTGCCTCATTTTATTTTTATCATTGATCATTTGGCTGATATTCTGTAAAGGATCAATGAATAACTAAGCTATATTTTCCAGAGAAGAAAACTTTTGGCAGAACTACTAATTTGTTTCTTAATTACTATTATCATAATTAAGTAAAGGTGCTTAGTAAATTTTGTGTGTGAAAAAATAAATAAGAGATCATTTGGCAAAAAATACTAAAATTTCGAGGATCATTTCATTACCATTCGAATGTTGCAAATAATTATTCTTTCATATGATCAAATATTTAGAATGAAATTTATATAATACAGAATAGTTTAGTGTATTATCAGGCTGGAATGATATAACGAGAGAGATGTTACCTCAATTTCTTCTCTTCTTAACATCCATTCAATGATTTTATTCGGCTTATCATATATCACTTGTTCGTTATCAACATTTATATATAATACACCATCTTCAAATTCTTCCCGTAAATATTCATCATTTTTGTTATTTCTATTCGATTCCTAATAAATTCAGATCTTTCTTAAATTTAAATAATTACAAAAAATTAAATTAATTAGAGAAGACTACAAAAATCAGTGATATTTTGATAATTTTAATTTTAATAACATTTTACTATCAACATTTATTCATCACTTACTTTACATGTTCATGTTTGAATTTTAAATTCAAATTTTTACAAAATAATAAATACCCATTTTTTCTTACGCTCCACAATTTCTTCCGTTAATCGGACCACATATTCTGGTATTAAAATATTTCGTATAATTTCTTCCCATGATGTAAGCAATAATTTTGCTGCTTCATCCTTTCTACCATCCATTAGGAACATATTTAAATGAAGAGCTAAAAATTTAACAATTTTTCAACAATTCAAAATTATTTATTAATATTTAAAATTTATCATTTAAAACATTAATTATTTATCAAATATACATTTACAATATCAAATCATTCCTTTTTTGATAACTTATATTTATATTTTTTATATTATATTATTAAATATATTTCCGATATATTCTTTTTTCAGTATTAGATATTTCTTGCATGATAAAAATCTTCACTGAAATGAATACTAAAATAACAATGCATTTGCTTACTATCTCGTGATTTAATCGTTGCAATGGCTACATTTTGATTGACCCTTCGAATGACCTCATCCACTTTTTGCATTGTTAAAGTTGGATATTTCTTTAGGGCATACATATAGTATGAAATATATTTCACTTCTACATTATCCAAATTACGTAGTATAATTAACAAATTGTTGCAATCATTTTCTTTACATGCCACACTTATTTTTTCCACTAAAAGATAATATTTTTAATGCGAAACTAAAATTTTACAACATTATCACAAATTAATATTACGGGCTATATTTAGACAATTATTTCTATGAATGGATAAATTCACAGTAAAATCTGCAAGAATTCAGGAAAAAAATTTTATGGATCCGGAAGACTATCAATTATAGATCGATAACCTAAAATTAAAGATATAATCTAAGATTTAATATAATCACTACGCTTATCATTCGTGTTATTTCCAATATATTATTGCTTCTAACATAAAATTAATTTCGAAATTCGTTTAAAAGTTTTGTTTAAAAATGATTACTGAAAGTTTAAAAGCATTGCTATCATACAAATTTGCAAATTGAAAATTAAAAAATTTCTTCGATCCATTTTTTTACAATGTTTTCGATATTTTAGGGAAAGAAAGAAAAAAATTTTCTTCCTCGAAGTAATCAATATTTTATAAATATACGATTAGTTTCGATGATTATTGATTGAATTTGTTCACGATTCAAAAATTCATTTGTACGTAAAGTTTTCTTTCGACTTCGAAGCTTAACTTGATATCGATCAGCAAATATATCATTTACATATGAAATATTTGTATCAGGACATTTTAAACATTTCAATAAGGCATCCTAAAAATAAGACAAAATATAATTAATTAAAAATCAAAATAATTAATTGCCCAAAAGTATATTATTTGAAAATGAAAATATTTAGCAAGTGAATTTGATAAAAATTTTGCAATTTTTGAGTGTAAAAATAATGATAAATTCAAATATGATATGATTTTGAATGATAATATTATCATTAAAATATAATATTTCCACGTAATATCCTTCTTAAAATTCTCTTTTTTTATTTTATATTATACGTTACATCGTTTTCACGTAAGGCTAATATTATTTCAGGATTTGGCGTAAAGAATATTTGTTATTACTTACCTTATCATCAACGCTATTATTTAATTCTATCACTGCTTTCATATGTGCATCCAAATTATCAGGTATTGTCGACAAAATTTCATCAATATTACCAAATAATGATAAATCGCTATTTTTCAACCGTTCACGTACGTCACCCAATATTGCTGCTGCTAAATAAAACATTTATTGAAAAGAAGAAAAAACGAGAAAATGAAAAATTAATTTCCAGCAGAAAACTTAATATTAAAACAATGAATAATTTATAGAAGTGACTAAAATATGTGTTAAAAATACTTACAACAATGTTTATATAATAATGAAATGCTAAAAATATTCATCGAAAATTTCATCTATCTTAACTTAATTACTCAAAGTTTCAATTCATCATTATTTTGCTTTTTTAAATTCAATTCACAGAAGTTTTAAAAATATTTTCAAGAGAAGAGTTTTGAGCATTTTCAAAGATTTCTTATTCATAGATAACATTTGATGATATGATAATTCAAGCATAAATAGCAAATGAAATTGACTATCGATATGAAATATAAATAATCAGTCCAGTTCTAAACGTGTTTGATAAGAGCTTATCAGTTGTATTTCTTACTTTTAAGATTTTGATGATACCTTACTTTCAAGATTTTGAGATTTTGATGATCAAAAAGAAGAAAAAACACGCAACATTATAGAAATTATGCAACATTGAGATTATTCAAAACAAATAAATATGAGCTAATTTGATAAATACCAAAATTAAATCTGATAAAATAACATGAAAATTAGGTGGCTATAATTATTTCAAACAAATTAAAGTAAATTATAGATTTTTTCGAATATGTTCAATAAGAACTTTTATATTTTCTTATAATATATGTTTTAAAGTTTTGAATACGAAAGATTTACGTGAGAATTGAACGTTCTCTTCACGCCGAATAGGCGGTCCACGACGCATTCGATGTAAATATTTGGCAAGTGCAAATAAGCTAAATATTGTTTTTATATTACGACCTTCGTAAATCTCTACAGTATCCGGAATTAAAACCTAAAAGTAGCATAATAAAAAACAATTATTATCATCAAATAATGATCCCAAAGTGATAATTAAATAATCAGCCAATAGATTATAGACAAGCTAACAGTTTATTATATTATCATATGGCAATACGACCAAGTTATTTATACTATGCCATTATGATTTAGTAGAATAAAACAAAAGTTTCATTGCTAAATTAAAAAAAGATAAAAATGATAGTAAATAAACTTCGGGAAAATGGATGCTTCTTATCGCATCTTTCCATAAATTGATGTTATCAGTATGACGATAACACACTTGGCCATCATTATAGAAACGATTCTAAAATAAAAATTCTAAGATAATTATAAAATATAATCGAATATTTTATGTAAATTATTATGAAAAAAAAAAGATGATAAATTAATCGATAAACTGTATGCTTAACTACTAGAGAGCTATTGTTTACTTAAAGTTATTATTTACTTATCCAATCACTACCTGATCAATGTCAAAAATTTTTGATACTGGTACAATATGTGGCGCAAACGAATGAGCAAGTCGAGCTAGCAATACACCATTGGACAAATTCCGCTCAAGTTCTGTTTCTTTTGCAATATCATCGAAATGAAGGAATTCCTTCAACCAACTGCAATATGTTGAAACTAATTAATTTATAATAATCTAAAATTATTTTAGGTAATTAAAAATTAATTGGAAAGGTAAATTTAAAAATGACTCTTGAAATTATTTCACCATCTTTAAGCATATATAAATCACAGAAATATCATTCGGATTATATCGAAATTTTATATAAATTAATTTCATCAAAATAAAATATGTCAAATATTGTTAATTTTCAATTCTGAAATCATCAAATCGGATTTTTCAAAAAACATTTCAATCTTTTAGTATGAAAAATTATGATATCTATCAAATGTTTGCATCACTTCTAATTAATTAATTAATTAATGGATAGTTCAAATTTTATCTTTTTAACCCAGTTAAGTTAATATCCATCCTCAGTATCATATCTTTATTCATCCTTTATTTAATCAGAAATTTCAAATTCAGTAATTTTGAAGTTATCAAGATTTCATACTCATCAAATTTGGTGTCATAAAATTTCAAGTTCATTAATTTTATTAGGATCGTTGAAATTTCATTCATCCAATTTGACTTTGATAAGTATCAATCAAATAAATTTAAATTATCTTCTTTGATTTTTTCATTTCATTAAAAAATTGTCTTTAATTTTTGCAAGTATTATCGAAAGTTTAAATTATTAATAAAGAGAAAAATGTCTTACTTTCTTACTTCAGTTAATCGAAGCAAATATTCATAAATTTTTTCATTTTCTCGTTTTTCATCCAATTCTTCGGTTGTATGTGACAAGCTGATATCAATTGGTTCAATATGTGATGAATTTATTTTATCAATAAACTGATAAAATTGTGTACTGTTATTCTCATTTGATGAATGTGAATTTTCTGATAGTTTAATAAATTGATTATTATTAGCAATTTCATAGGTATTTTTATCATCCATTGATTGAGTGTAAATGGTATTAGATGAAGTAGTTGATAATGTATCGTTATCATTATTGCCTTCACTGTAGTTCAACTGAATTATCTTTCGTTTAGTGATAGAAGCGATCGTAGTAATTGCAGCAGTTGCTGTTGTTGTTGCTGTTGTTGTTGTTGTTGTTGTTGTTGTTGTTGTTGTTGCTTCGGTAATCATAGGATTGTCATTCATTTAACTGAACGAATTGCTAAAGTAATTATAGCAAATTGAGAATTAATATTTTAAATATAATTGATGTATGAATTAAACACTACTGAAATAATAAATTATATCAAATTATGATTTCTTTAAAATTAACTTTACAACGAATTTTTTATTACTTGGAAAAGTTGAAAATTTACTACGATATCCATATCTGATTTGTAGAAAAGAGTGATTTAATTCTCTTTTTTTTGAAAATAAAATTATTTGAAAAGGAGAAAAAATTCAAAATTGATTTCTATTACTAATAATTAATTATATATCATTAATAGACTTTCTTATTTCACAACCGGATTTGTTCCGGATCTATTCTCATTCCTGATAAGAAAGAATCATTTCATATGAGAAATTACAATTATTTATGTAAAATTTCAATCATACTCGCTCATAAAAATTTTGAAATAATTCATAAAACAAAAAATTTCCATAAATTTATAAATAAAAATAGAAAATACAAATTGATGAAAAAAGAGAGAAAGAAAGAAAAACTAAAATAATGCATAGTTTTATTAAAATGGTGGAAAAAAAGTATTAGATGAAAAAGAAAATAAAAATTTCTAAAAGATGAAAAATAATGCATAGAAAGCTATCTATGCTAAAACTATAAATGAAATACTAAAATTATCACTGATAATGCATGAATAGAATGATAAAGTTATCACTGATAATGCATTAATTATATAATAAAAAAGAATATGACGTTCCAACTAATCGAGTTTTTTCATTTTCTACCTTTTTTTTGCAACAAAATGATAAACGAATTTAAACAAATTGAAATGAATAAAAGAAAGTAAAAATTTTTTTGATCCATCAGATGACAGAAAGCTATCGTATCGTATGCTAAGTATACCTATCACTACATCATATAAGTATACCTGTCATCACATCACACCATACTTACTCTTCTGATTATACCTGCTATCACATAACATAAGTATATCTGTTATCACATACATAGGTATACCTATCACCACATCATATAAGTATACCTGTCATGACATCACACCATACTTACTCTTCTGATTATACCTGTTATCACATAACATAAGTATATCTGTTATCACATACATAGGTATACCTATTACCACATCATATAAGTATACCTGTCATCACATCACACCATACTTACTCTTCTGATTATACCTGTTATCACATAACATAAGTATATCTGTTATCACATACATAAGTATACCTGTCATCACATCAACCATACTTACTCTTCTGATTATACCTGTTATCACATAACATATCTGTTATCACATCACATAAATATACCTATCATCACATCACACACACTTACTCTTCCGATCTCCAAGCCATCCTTCTATTTATTCCGTTAGTTAAAAAAAGCAAAAAAAACTTCACATATTGTCAATAATCAAACAAATCAAACCAAATATTCATTTCTTATTTACATTTTTTTCATCTCTTCATTTCTTTCTTCTTCCCTTTCTATCTGTAATACATTATTCATCATCGTATCATCGTATCATCGTATCATCGTATCATCGTATCATCGTATCATTAGTTCTGATATCATCATTATTACTTTTATATTCATACACTCCTTTCTTTTTCATTTTTCCTTCCTTCTCATCTTTTTCATCATCTTTTCATTCTTTTGCATCAATCTTTTATTCAACTCATTTAAACATTTATCATTCGATTTATAGCATAATTTTCACTCAACAAAAAAAAGAAATGATAAATATAACATAAAGGTAACAATGATTATGATTATCACATATCTATTAATATTGATTATATTACCATCACCTTTTTTCCTTATCATTTCAATTTAATCTCATATAACAATAACTTTATTAGCCATCTTATTTTTATTTATTCATTATTCATTAATTGATTTGTTTATTCAAATCAATGCTTTATTCATCTTTTCATTTTATTATGAATAAATATATCATTGCTTAAAAACATTCATTGTTTCAAATAATTTCATTTCAGTATGGTTGTTTGAAATCTTTTCATTCATTTAATTTTTAGTTGATAATTTTGAATATTTCATGTAATCATCAAAAATTTCAAGCCAAAATTTAACTTGTTTTTTTCTTTTTTTCTCTCATTTTAGATACTTTTTTTTTAAGATACATTCAAAATAATTTATTTCAGTTATATTAGCAGTGGAAACTTTTCCTCGGATATTATAAAACTTTTTTCCTGAACTATTCTACTTCATCGATCGTTCAACACTTCGTATCATTCATTCATTATTCGTTTCCTTCTTCCACTCCGTTTGCAGCACTCAAAAAATTGCTTCATTCAGTACTTACCATCTCTCTTTGTTACTTACACAAAATTTCAACGAATGATAAGAGTGAAATATAGGATAGATGTAAACTACTGAAGTGCATTCCTCTATTTCACATTTTGCTTTTTACTCTTTACTTTCTTATTCCTTATCATTTCTTATTCATTATTCAATTTCTTATTTCTTATTCCTTATAATCTCTTATCTTTTATCATTTTTTATTTCTCACTTTTTATCATTCATTATTCCTTCATTCTATCATGTCATCATATCTCATATTCGTATTATTATCATCCCTGAAAATAAGAAAATATAATATTTAATATAATTCTTATCGCAAGAATTTCCTATCATTTTGTTCTACTAATTACATGAACATATAACCATAGCAACGATTAGAAAATATTTCAAACGAATAAAATTATACATTATTTGAAAAAAAAAAACTTAGCCGAATGATAGTATGCAAATTTTTGAATTCATTATATTTCTTATCATTTCTTATCATCTTTATAAGTAAACATTAACAATTGACAATAAAATGAATTATATGTTATCGATTTTTTTTTAAAGCAAAATTTTCATTTCATTTTCCTAATAATTACATTTTTAAAAGTTATTGGGACATTGCAGTTCAGAAGAATGTTAGAAAAAGAGAAAGCAAAAAAGAATGGATATTTAGTGTAATAGTAATTTCATCAATCTGTTTATCATCTTCTTTACCGGTGAATTATTTAAGCTCGATTTCGAATATATTAATTTATTGATTGATAAATTTTTTTGGATTTGAATTTCAGCGATTTTTACTTCCTTCATTCCTGAAAAAAAAGTCACAAAATTAAATTAGAAATTTTAATTAATAATAAAAAAAAGTGAATATTTGATTGCTTCAGATTTACATCTCAGGTGTGCAGAAAACTTCAAGTTAATCTGTAATGATATAATTATTTGTTGACTATAACAAATTACACAAATATATTTTAATTTAATAACGATCATATCATTTTGTAGATTATAAAAAAAGTTATAATGTTAACATTGAATTTTAAATTCATTCATTCCCATCAGTCATTATATCGGAATTTACCTAAATAAATAATCATCCCAAAAAGAATGAAATCACTTGTATAATCCGAATTATTCTCTCTCCCGGGTCAATCATTCAATACTTCCGCGTTAATGCCTTTTGCCATCATAATTTTTCGATTTTTCACACTTCTCCGTTACATCAAATCAAGTATTAAAGTAAACAACGATGTGTACATGAACCCATAATGTGTAATGTGTGTACACAGACATGGACACGCGTATGTCTCTGAAGAAATAATTGCATTACCCCTGGATGTCTGTTGCATGACGCGCGTGCAGCACGCATGCGTGTATGGTTGCGTGTGCTTATGCGTGTCTATCTGTGTATGCAAATTACATATTATACGTGTATATACGATACGATGAACTTACCGTTAGCGTGCGAGAACGAATAATTCCCGGTGTGTCATATGTTTAGATGTTTTGATTCTTATGCCACTTTGATACATCACTGCAAATCTATTTTACTCGTCTTTGCTAAGTTAAGCGAGTAATTGAATAATGTAGCATCGAAAAGATTTCCCTCGCAATATGGTAATCCTTAACTGATCTTTAGAAATGTTAATTAAGAAAGGAAAGGCAATAGATGATATCCTTCTTTAGTGACAGATATGTAAACGATGATAAGAAGTATATGCGTATGATGTAATTATGAAATAGTTGGATTAGCAAAGGATAAATTATAGTAAATAGTTAATTCTTCGTTCTTTGATAAACTTTGTATTCTATGTTCACTATACATCGGTATTTCAGACATATCAAAATTCCATTATTTTTAATATTTCTTTGCTTAAGTATTTTTTCATTCACTTTCGAATTTATTACCCTCATATATATTATTAGTTCAGTTTCTCCAACAATTTTTCACTCTTCAACATTACAACGTTTTTTTCCTAATCTTGTTTCTTGTCATTTTTCTTATTCCAATGTTGCGCGATGTAACTTTAGCTAGCCTTATCATAAAATCTTCAAAAATGTTTTAGTAGTTTCTGCTCTACTGTTTTCGACTATATTTTTGGTTTTAGTATCTTAATATATTACTAAAGTGATAAAATAAAACTGACTAAGGTAATTAGATCATTAATTACTGCAACAGGGAAAGCGAAATGAAAGTAAAATACAGCAAAGATAACAAAACTTGAAGTTGTAGTAAATCGCCACTACTTTTTCCTTCTTTCTTTTTTTCTCTATCCTTTCCTTTTTGTTTTCTTCCATTTCTGGTTATTTAATTCTTGATTTTCGATTTTTGATTTTAACCGCTTTTATTAAATTAAAACATTATGAAAATCGTACGTCCTAATGAGTAAAAAATAATTGTTAAAAAGCAATGCTTGTTTTGCTAAAAAAACATTTTCTGTTTTTCATGCACTTTTTGCATAATATTAATTTCGTTGGATTATATTTGCAATTATTAAATAATGAATCACATTTGTTTCGAAATTAGGCAGTTGTATCCTTGGATACCCGAAATTCAGGCTTATAATTTATGAATTTCTCAGTATTTCACAATTGATTCTCCCCGAAATTCATGCTTGTACGTAAACTTTCCTATGTATATATAATTGACTATAAGCAATTTGTGAATTTTTCGGTATCGCTGCATATCCGGAAT